GACTAGATGCAATCAGCTGGTTTTCCTAAGATAGAAAACTTTGAACCAATGTTACTGTATGATCTGCTTGAGTTGTCTCTGTAAAGTGCCTTGAGATGACATGCGTTGTCAAATGGGGCTATATATATAAAATTAATTGAATTTAATTATTGTACTATTTTTGGTAACTGATTTAAAACAGGTCTGTGAACTATATGACACTAAGGTCGTTACTATTGAACCTAACAGTGCCCTAATCTTAGAATTTGGATTTTGTTCTCAAAGGAATTTGATTAATGTAATAGCTTTTTTCTTTTTTTTTTCTTTCTTGAGTGGCTATCTGTTTTTGTAAAATCATCCTCCACATCAGACATTCCTTCAGACACGAGGAGAAAATATTGTTATCTACTGCTGCAAAGGTAGCTATAAGGTATTGAACACAAACCAGACCAGGGTGACAGTTCCAAAAGTTGATACCAAAAAGTTTTATTTTGGTAGGTTCTGTGAAAATCACTTAAAATGGACTGAAACTCTTCAAGATTGTTTTGTGAATCCATTTCTCTAATTAGATATATAAAATTAAAAGCAGCCATTTACATGGACATCAAGAGGGCAATTCATAACTCTCTGTCCTGTACCTCTTACACTACAAAGCTAATTTTGTTTTTAATTACTGTGGTTTAGTTTTTTGACTTCAATAAAAAGCAGATCAGAGCTCTCTGAATACAAACCAAAGTGAACAGCCCCCCTGATACAGCAGCTTGTTCATGATTCATGTGGGGAATTCACTGCTGAATGAGGATTCAATGGGAATCCCTTTTAGCTGCACTTTGAAGTGTGTATTTCTAGCTTTTCTGTGATCAGAGCATCTATTTAAAAAAATAAATAAATAAATTGTGCCAAGCATGCTTAAGCTTAAACACAACATAATTTCTTTTATGATCTCCTAAACAAGAAATTTCTTTTAGATTAAAATGCACTATAGGTAAAACTATCTTTTACACACTGTAAAGATGGAAGAGATTGTTTTACAAAATACAGACACATTTGGTGGCATCCCTGGTAAAAATAGTCAATGTGTGTGAAAACAAGTTGAACTTTTTAAGAGCATTCACTCATGTTGCAAACCACCTCATTGGCTCCACTGTTGTTGTTTATTCATCCTCTTCTTGACTTAAGCAGCAAATAATATTCTCCAACAGCACTCCATGAGGTATGAGCAGAGAGAAGATCTTTGACCATCCCTCTTTGCATAATCTCTCCAGGATTTACTCTTATGCTATTTGGAGCACTCCACAGGTTTTCTTTTTTTTTTCTTAAGCAGGATTTACCTCTGCACTGAACAAAAAAGAAAAAAAAATCTTAAATAAAACTTTCCTTTAAGCAGGTAAATTATTATTTGGATATTTTTCAAGGCTGCACTTTTAAAAAGATGAAATTGTCCAGAGAGCTGTTCCAAACAAAATGTATTTTTGTTTTACACTTGTGTGAACAAAATGGCATAAATCCATCTAAATCTAAATTAAATAAGATGATCTGCAAATGAAATTAGTATTTTTGTTCTTAAAGTACAATAAGTAGATATTCACTTGAAACAAGTTCCCCCTTTTAAATGTAAATCATCTTATTTCATTGGCTAACCATCTTACTGTCCAGAACAGGGGAGAATAGACTTATTTCAAATGTTTGTATGTTTTGACTGAAATAAAGGAAGCTTAATTTTAGGTCTGGTAAATTTTTTCTCTGCGCATTTCGCATTTCAAACGGTTATTTTAGATGAGAAATAAGCCCATCACATAAAGGAACCAGGACCATACTTAACAGTGGCAACTAATTGTTGTTAAAGTCCTCCAAACACCATACTTATACATTCGTGACACTAGGACAGAAAAGAGGTTATTAATTATGGGTTTGTGCCCAATCTGTTGGCCAGAGACTAAATGAAATCAGGGAATGTTAAATTTCATCTCTGAAATTCAGAACGTTAGAGAATACTCTTCACAAGATCCTCTATACTCAATACTCTTCACAAGATCCTCTATACTCCTATCGACTTAAAATAATATAATTAAAACTATTAAATGTTTCTGTTACATTTATTATACAAGTACATTAGGGAAACCAAATACTAATGCATGTATGGTATAAATATTTCCCTCATTAATGGCTTAAATCTTTTTCTAAGTAAAGGTTTTTACTGTGACATTAAGCTAATAAAACAAAAGTTTTGTTACCCGTTTCTAAGGACTATAACACATTTTGCACATAATAAAATGTCCAAGCCTGTAAATTTATTTATTGTTATAATTTGTTCAAAGTATGCAAAAGTCAATATTAGGTGTAGATTATTTGACTCCCAAAACTGTTTAGATTACTGAAATGAAATTAACTGATTATGCAAAAATGGAGACAAACACACAACGGTCAATTGGCATGAAAAATATATTTACTAACAAAACAGGGGGGGACATCTCCCCACAGGGTGGGTTTATAGAAATGTGACAATTTCAAACATGTTCACAAAGAGAAGTCCACAAAGGTTGACTTCAAAAAGGTAACAAATAAAATTCTGGAACTAAAGTATAAAAGGAAAAATATACAATAGATTTTACAGGAACAATGGTGGAACAATCTGTGGAGCAGACTGCAATAGTTTTAATGTCCTTCTACAGTCTGGGGTTAAAGGTGGTGTGCTCTGCATCTCTGGGGCCTTCTGCAGCTATACAACAGCGTACTGCTGATAAAGCAGCTCCCGGATCTTATAGTAGTCATCACACAGGCAGCCTTCTAGACCGATGCGCCCAGGCTCCGTCTGAGCAAAAAGAACAAAGATTCACAGGTCAACTCAGCCCTAAAGCAACAAGGTTGCATCTCACAGTACAGATAAACAAACCTTGAGCTGCACAGTGCAGGAGAGAAAAAAACATATCTTTGCAGTTCCTCATTTATTTGTGCACATTTTCTTTTTAGTGTCTCATGAATTTAGAACATTTCCCATTTAAACAGCATGCAAACATTCCTCATTACAAGTTACAGTTCTCTTTGATTTCATTTTCTGGGTTGCATCTATTTTAGGTCCTTGTCAATTATGCAGATTGTTGTTAGCATCCTGGCTTCAGCTTGTACTTTCGGTAAGTCCTGATTGATGTTTTTTTATTTCTTTCACCTTAGGTGACATATTTTCATATGGCACAGGGGGATTTTGTATTCTGCTTAGACTATCTGTTTGTTTCTCTCTCTTATGTTTCACTTCGTGTTTATTGCAAACATGTTAATTCATTGAACTGTAAAGGACTAAGGGATCTATTTGGCTTTCTGC